GCTCACCCCAAAAGGTGGTGGCTGCTGGCCAATTCACCCGGGCAGACCAGCCCTTCATGCACATTTGTCGTGCCTATTACCCACACAGACACTGGGGTTGGAAGGTCTGAGAGGGAATGGCAGGTGATATTTGACACATCTGTAAGGATCCGGGTTTGTTGCACTAACTGGACTATAGCTTACTTCACTGTTCATTGCACCATCTTCAAAGAATAAAGTCTTTTTGTACTGTCTTCTGTTTTAGGTAGGCCAGGACAAATTTAAAAGCCATTTCTTTTGCTGAAACAGCATTGATCTCTCGTGGTTCTCCTCAGCTGTCTGATTTACAATTTTCAGCTATTTCTGAATGTCTACAACTATGCATTTGATCCTTTTTTTTTAACTGCTGCATTGCAAAATCCTAATTAAATTATCTCCCCATCCATCTGGCACCTTTAAGAAACCCACCAGCAGTACCCCAGCTGCTACAACAGGAAGGGCAGCACCCCTCGAGCTGGGGGCCAGCCCAGCTTCTAAGGTTTCTGATCTCCAGCCATTCCAGCCAACAGCATCTGGGTTTCGTTGTCACCTCTAAGAACAAATGAGTCTCTACAGCTAGAATGGTGGGCAATTATAGAAAACCAGTCAGATGTAGGCAGGACAGAAATGAAATGTAAGTGGTCATTCAGTGATACAGCTTGTTTGAGTTTTTCTGATTTTTCAGGACCTCATATTGGTTACAATTATTGACTGTTTCCTTGATTGAGGATGTTGTTTCTGGTTTCTCTCTCTGGAAGCAAACAATTTTATTCTAGATTTTATTTTTTTAAATGAAGCATTTGTACAAAAAGTGTCTGCTTTCCAAGAAAGATTTCAAGGTACCAATATTAAGAAATCTTCAAATTCAGAACCAAGCTACCTAGTGCAAATGCTTTCACATCCCAGTGTATACTGGACTTTGTACACTGGGAACATTAGTTTCCGTGGACCGTGTTTCCCAGAGTCAATCTGTCAGGATGTGCTGTGACTTTCAGATTCCCTGTGTAATATCAAGTTATCATGGTGGATGGTCAAAGATACAGCCCTAATGTAATAAACCCAGTATATAGACAAAAGTGGAGGAGTGAAGCACCTAATCTAAATTTGTGTTTACATACTGTGGCAGATAAGCTTTATAAATCCTGCAGTTTACAGGCCATAGTTGTTACAATGCTGGTGGTGTACTGTCATGCAGGCTCAGGAATTCTTTCCTTTGAAATCATTAATTTTCACTCAACAGTTGCAGCAATTGGTGCTTAGAAAATAAAATGTTGCAGACTTTAATTCTCACACCTGTGTGGCCAGCATCATATCTTTCGTTTTGCTTTTCATGTAACAAATATTGTAAATCTGCCATAATTTATGTAAAATGGAAGCAAACAACATTTTAAGAAATGCAGCTCACATTGAAGTCTCAAACGTGGATTTGTCTTTTGTAGTCCTTGTGGTCCATCCAAACAAGATTCCTAGTTGTGTACATGCAGTTTCCCAGTGAAAAGGGATGCTTGAAATCTCTGAGTCAAGATTTTTGAAAACAAAATAAACTAAAAGTCAAGACTTCATATGTGGGGTAACTGTAGTAGACTCTTCTAGGCTGGAGGAGGGACATAGCTGTTGATTATCATGCCAGCAGGGAACCTCCACAGGCTCGAGGCCACAGCCTCTGCATCAAGGCAGTATCTCTTCTCCCGCTGTGTGTAGGTATTTACTTGCTTTCCTTGTTGTCCATTTCTTTCTAGTTCTACTAAAAGAATTAATCTGCTGAACTCACTGGCCAGGTTTCATAGAAGTTTATCATATTTTTGGGTACAGTACCTGTGACAGAATAGGTTTACATTAGATGTCAGTACATCATTCCCAGTGGTTTAGGAATGTCTTTCTGCATGGGATTTGCCAAGACGTGTACTGATTTCAACTTCATTAGCTAAAAGGTGCTAAAAAAGAAAAAAAAAGGCTATGGTTTGTGAAACCCTTTGAGAGGGTTTTCTTTGCTCTGCCTGCATTGGATCTTCTGCTGCTGGACCATCTGAGAAGCCAAAACAAGCTTATACTTCTTTTACTTTTTGCATCATGTCAGCTCTGCCACACTGTGTAGGCTGTATTTGCATAAAGCTCCTCCTAGGGGCTCCAGCATTGAGTGTAAGCAACCTGCCTCCTCTGCTGCTTAGGCTGAATGAGCAGTTCCTGCCTCCCCTGAGACCCACTGTAACCTTTTCATTCACACACTCAGCCTTGCCTAGCCTGCAGCACAAGAGTTTCAAGTCTGTCTTGCACCCAATTTCCCTTTGGATGTCAGCATTCAGAGTTGCTTCTTGCTGCAATTGCCCTAGGCCTTTGCACATCTACGTGGGTTTTAATGTCAGCTCAACATAAGAATAAGGGCTTAAGGAAAAGATGTAAGGGGGTAAATCACAGGATGCCATTCCTACAAAACCCTGAAGAGTTTCTCAGCATTTCATTCCAAATGTAAATACATAAGTGGTAGCAAAAGGAGTGGAGCTGAGGATCTTTGAAGTAATGTAGAACTGCTAATCAAGTATCTTTTGAAGTCAATGAAATCAAAAGGTCTTGTTTTCAGATTGTTGGCATCAGGTCACCTATGTGATTCAAAATCTGTCTGTGTAGTAATATGAAATTAGGTGAGACATTTATTGTAAGCTTTTCCTCTATGTCAAGAGTGTAAATAGCTTCAGTTTTTCTTACAAATTGAGAAGCTAGAGAGCTGGGCTAAGAAGAACAAAAGAGAAAAAGACTGGACAACAGGTGTGGAGAGCAAGTATGCTTCACCATTCAGACCGTGCAATTGTAATACAAATTGAAATCCTGCTTTTGCATTGGTGTTTTAGATATAAGGCCTAAATGTTCATCTGATCATATCTTAGTTCTGTATGGTTAAATCCTTCCAGGGACATAAGTGACAAAAAAATACAGCTTGAGCTTAACTTCTGTAATCAGGTTTACAATGGTTAAGGATGTTTCCAGGAAGATGATATAGTTAAAATTGTAAATAGAACAATATGGGTGCAAAAATATGAAACTTGATCTTTCTAAAAATGGTAGGTTTTACTTGGTTTTCTTGATCAAAGAAATGCAAATAAACCTTTGCTGATCCTTTTAAAAAAAGTATTTTAAATCATCCCTTTATTCTAAGTTGCCCATTTATCAGTAAGATTTTTATTACTAAATGCAACAGCTTACCACCATGGGTTAAGACTTGCACCCAACCTTCCATAAAAAAACCAGCGGGTAGAGAACTGTACTTACTAATATACACTCTTAGTTATCTTTATGCCTGAGTCAGTTCTTCCATCAAGAAACCTAAAGAGAGTGTTGACCTTTAAAGGGATATCTGTACAGATTCAGTTGAGGGGGCTTTATTTTTACTACACAAACATGAAACACGTTTTCTTCCGCACCTTTCTACTGAGTCTCAGCTTATTAACTGTAACAGTAGCACAGGCATCTGTCCTTTTAATAACACTTCTGTAGCAGTGTTTTAGAGAGCATATACATGTTTACATTCTTTTTTTAGCTTTCCCTCTTGAGGGTGTTTTTAAATTCAAACAATATTTGGCCAAGGAAACAGTTTTATTTTGGAATTCCAGGCTCTAGATGTATACACTCTATGCAAATGCTGATGATGTAAACAAATAATGACATACCTAGTTCTTTCTACTTCCTATGCTGAGGTTTGGCTAATGCGTTGTCAATGTCCTTTCCCTTTTTTGACAAATGTTTTCTGTGAAAGCAAAGTGCTGCCACAAGGGCTTCAGTTCTCTTCTGCGGCTCCAACTCTGTTCCTTTGTTTGAAAGTTGTTTGGCTTAAGCAATGTCTTCAGGCTGAAGCACTGAGCTTGATTAGACATGTAGGTCTCAAAGTTGCAAAATAGGAAATCATCAGGTTTTCTATATGTTTTATCAAGACATTTCAATTTCCAATGCGAATGAATTCATTTTGGAAGTTTTTGTATCTTTTTTATGCACTTTGGATTAAAGAGCAAAGGTCTACTTTAAAATATTTCTCTAAGAAGTTTACTCATAGTTTCAGTGCATTTCTAGGAAAGCACTGAACGCTTCCCTTTCTGTTTGCATCCTGCATTCCATGTCATGAAGTAGTTTCTAAGGCTGCAGTTGCATGATCATTTCAAAGTAACTTGGTCCTGTATGTAAGATCTGTGTCCCCTATCTCTCCTTCCAAAACCCAGGCTACTAGTTTTTAGCTTTTAGTCCTTGCTCACACCAGTCTCTGTGGCCTTGCTCTTTGAGCTAAATCAGAAATTGATCAAGCTGAAAACTAAAGTGAGAATAAAAGAGACCTGTTTCCTATCTCTTTGAGTCACCACAAGGTAATGCAAATGTCCGTGTCAAGTTTGAGCAGTCAGTCAATTTCTGTGAGACCTGGCAGCTCTGAAACATGCTGGCCACTGAGTTCAACACATTAATGCTTTTAGCAGAACTGGAAGAAATCGGCAATGAGGAAAATAAGCAAACATCTACAGAGTGAGAGGAGAGAGATTACCTTGAGTGACCTCAAGCCTGTGGAGGTACCCTGCTGGGGTGATAATCAACAGCTATGTCCCTCCTCTTCTCCAGCAGAGAAGAATCTACCAGTGACTGCACAGGCTTGGAGCAGACAAAACTGTCCAAGTAACCAAGATCTCCAAATGGCATTTATTTAAAGACATTTAAAAACATCAGTTTCAGAATGAAAGATTCTGTTTAGTTTCACAAGAATCATTGTTATTTTCATGTGCAGGTCCACTGTTTATCGAGATCATTTGGTTTTGGATTGCGTACCGAAACATTTTGCGAAAGTCATCTTCAGAAACAACAAAAAAATAAAAAATAGAGTTAACATTGGAAAGAATAGGTTAATTTTGTTAAATGTGTATTTTCCAACAACTTCAATGTTTTTGACATTTTACTGTTATAAATCACTGTTCATTGTCTCATGAAAGCTATTTTTTTATCTCTTCACAGATCGAATTGCACAGAATATCATTAAATCTCATTTGGAGACATGTCAATACACAATGGAGGAATTACATCAGCTGGCATGGCAGACCCACACGTATGAAGAAATTAAGGTTTACCAGAGCAAGGTACAGTCCTGCAGTATGCTTTCTCTTCTGCTGTGTAATTTACTTGGCAAGAATAGACTGATGAGTTTCATATATTCATCTTAAATATCTTTGAGGAGCTGGTTACTGAAAGCAAAGTAATGAAATGGTCATGGAATCTAGTTTTCCGTCTGTTTATCACAGATCTAAAACTCATGCAGAATTTCAGTTGACTTTAATGTGATCATGATTGGATCCTTTGTTGTAAGGATTTTAAGAAAATAAGTCAGCACAATTTTGTTTCCTTAGAATTTTAAAAACACATCTGCTTTTTATGTGAATAACAAATATCTGTCACTTACATACAATAGACAATGACAAACTGAAAGTACTCCTTAAACTGAAGTTGTTCAAAATTAGGTGAAAAAACGATCTCATTATACTATTTTGTTCTGCCTCTGTGATTCTTGGGTCAAGTTTCGTCTATTTGCCACTGGCAACTCTTCAGATGTAGTCCAGTCAACAGTAATCTCTGTGCCTCTTGCACTGGCTTCATTAGTCTTCAGTCAGACTTCAACTGGCGTATTAGCTGATTGTGTAAGAGACAGGAGACACTACAGCTTGTTCTTTGAAATCCGAGGGGCTCTGCAGCATTAGCAGGAACAAAAACACACCACAGCTTACAGAGGTGTGGCCTGAAGCCAAGAGCATCCATTTGCATTTACACATGTGAGTGCAAGGAAAATTATTATCAAGGAGTCAAAATTTGGATGTAATCTATGTTCAGATTGCAATAATATTTAATTAAATATTATTTGAAGTTTCAAAATAGTCTGTTGAATAAATTAATAGCATTGTGCCACTTCTTTACAGTGTTTACATTGCATGGGATGTTTACATTTCATATGCTGCTGTTAGTCTATTTTGCACAAAAACCAAAATTAGAATCACATTTTAACACTGAGCAATGCATTCTGCTCCTTTGAAGAGGTAATGACAGAGTTCAGATGACTGTGGTAATCAGCTTGTGAAAACACCCTTCTAATGAGAAGTGTTGGGTACTTTTGAGATGCAGAGATGCTGCTAGCTCTGCCTGGGAATGAGTATGGAGCCTGGGCAGTCTGCCTGTCTGCAAGGCCACCTGAAGTACGTAATGCACTGATATACTCTCTAGCTCACTGCTTTGCTTTCCCATGTGTGTTTTACCGAAGACCAGAGAAGCTCTGTGGCAGCAGTGTGCCATTCCGCTATCCAGTACGTTGTGGAGTTTGCAAAGCGCATAACTGGCTTCATGGAGCTCTGCCAGAATGACCAAATTCTTCTCCTTAAGTCAGGTGAGTAAACACCAGAGGCTTTAAACTACTAAACTGCTGGTTTAGCACCCAGCACCCTAGAAATGCGCCCTGTTGTGTTATTCTACAAATCATTTTAATTTTGAAGGAGCCCTAATTTCAGTCTGTTTCATTAGCTACATTAACCCTTTTGTATTTTTCCATATTAATCATGTTACTGCCTTCTGATCCCCTTCCCTCTACAGTTCGTTGTATAAGTACATGCACACACACAACAATAGCAGAAACTGCAGTCTCCAACCTGACATGTGGTGGAAGGAACCCGAGAACTGAGCTGGTCAAATCAGTCATCTGCTGCCCTGTAAAATCCCCACTTGTCATTAGTGCAATGAACGCAGGCTTACTGGGGCCTGTCTCTGTGGTCATCTCTAATCTTTTTAATGAGACTACAGAAATACCCTACAGTCAGTGCACAGGAGGGAAAATCCCCACTAGTGCCAGTTGGTTTCAGAATAAATGAGAGCAGATTATGACAGTGTGCTCCAGCCATGCTCTCTGCATGATGGGTTTGCATGCGTGTGTGCATAAGGGCAACAGTAAAAAGGCTTTCCTTACTTGTCAAGGGACTTGGTAATTTCTGGCCTCCGGAAGACTCATGACAAGATTTATCATCACTATGTAGTAACACTGCCAAACTCAGGAGAGTGAAATGGTATGACCAAGTGAACCACAAGAACTACAACTAGTAGTTAACTACATTTACCCTGTCCTATCCGTTTCTTGCTCCCTCCATGTGTAAAAGGTAGGATGCTGTGTGAGGCAGCTCGTTAAAGTGCTTCCTATTTGAAAAGAGAGCTCTTAATTGAGGCTGGAAGCCCGTGTGATTCATTACTCTGTACACAGAAGACTGTAGCTTGTTGCTGGGCTGGACTCTGTTGGTGGGCACAAGTGGATAGGAAAGTGATATAGAGACCCTAGGAACAGACAGGCAACCTCCTGGAAAAAAAAGCAGTTGTAGCACAAAAACTACATTTTATTAATCTCATACTAATTTTGTAAATTCTGCAGATACCAGTGCACCCCTAGGAAACTTCCTTTGTTTCACTGGCAAGGCTAAGAACAAAGCTGCACCTTCAGGAAAAGATATATTTGACTGTACTGTTGGAAAACTGTTAAATTCTAGCATGTAAAAATATGTCAGATTTTATTTTCTGTTTTGCTGTTAATGCTGAGCAGGAGTTAGAAAATCAGGGCTTTTCTCTCAGAAGTATGTCTGCGAAAGAATCCTCAGATTCAGAGTTCATCTTAAATTAGACTTGGATTTAGTTAAGGGATGCTTAAAGTTTTGCCTTTCACATTCCCAATTGCATATTTTTGCTGTTAGGAAATAATACAGAAAGATAAGGAGTAAAAAAGAATGCTTCCTTTGGCTAGTCAACAACCAGAAGAAAATAAACCAAAACAGCCATACAATGGGAACAAAAGTAAAACCTATTTTAGGGCTGTTCTTGACAGTGCTTTAACTTTTATTTTCTCTCTAAAAACGTTTTGTGGTGTTATCCCTCTACAGCCAAATTAAGCTGGGATTTATATAAGCATTGAATTAAACTGTTTCTTTGGTATTAAAAGGGGGTTAATTATTAAAAATTAGTTTCAATAAATGTCTGACTTTCAGGATAAAATATTTCAAACTGAATTTCTTTGACCAGGTCTAAATTCAGAATCAGTCCAGGCTGCCAATTTGCTGCAAAGCAGGAAAGAAACATACTGTACCAGAAATTACCCCTTTCTATATACAAAGCAGACAGTGATATTTTTTGTCTCATTCAGAGACATATAATCTAGGTGTCTTCAAAGAGTCTCTATCCCTGATGATATTTATATAACTGATGTCTTCTGACATACCTTCTTGAGATTTCCTACACTCTATTGTTAGGCAGTAATATGTGGTACTTTTGCTTTTTTCTGTCTCATAGGCTGCTTGGAAGTGGTTTTGGTGAGAATGTGCCGTGCCTTCAACCCACTCAACAATACTGTTCTGTTTGAAGGAAAGTATGGAGGGATGCAAATGTTTAAAGCTTTGGGTATGTTGCTTTTCTTCTTTTCAACATATTACATTGAGCACATAGCAAGAGATTTGTCTTTAGGAAAAGAGTGACCCACAATGTACAGTAAATGTTGAATCCCCTAGCCTCCACATGTCTAGGCTGGAACAGAAAAAGAAAAAAGGTGACTCTGCTAGCGCTGCTAGTGGTGATAGGTATTTTTCTCTAATGAAAAAATGCAGCATGAAGGGTTTTTGAATGGATTTCTTTGCCATCTGAATTTTTGATAAAACAAGTTTATGGCACGAGTCGAGCTGTTTATCTTCACTGTTCAATTATGCTTGATACATCAAATCACTCCCACTAATTGTGTCCTGCAGGAGGCAATTTTAGACCCAGCAGTGAGGGGACTAAAATGGTGTACTACTACAAAACATACATAATAACAGGCCTAAAATATTGTTTTTCCCAGAAGTTTTAAGTAAGGTCATTGAGATTCATGAGTAGAAAAATTACTTAATTTCTCAACATGATATTGAGTGCTACCTGAAATGTTAATAGTTAAATGGATGTATTTTGCCCATTCATGAGACTGATATTATCAGAAATCTATTCAGGACCAAACTCAAAGAGCCATATTTCCTTCAAATGCATGTGTTTATCATATAGGTGTATAATTTCCTTGTGTGTGGATAAGAATAAAACTTCTTTACAAGTTTAAAATATTTATGAATGTGTATTGGTTGATTTATTTTGGTCTTCATGATGTTTTCACAAATTTTCATAAATATTGGTACTGTTAATTAGTAAAGTTATATATGTGAAAGTTATTTAGGACTAGCCATTCATACGTCTTAAATTTAATATCTGTCTAGAAATAGCAATTCTTTCCATATTAGGAAAAGATATCTGTCTTCAAAGATGTCTGTTCAGTTCTTGTACTTGTCCCAAATTCTTGATAATTTCTGTGCTTCAGTGTGTTTTGGTGACATTTTCAGGTTAGGTGGAATTTTAATAGTTAATGAAAAATTTAAAAGTACAGGAGAAAAAATTGAAGAAGTAGAGATATTCACTCATTGTTTTTGACACCAGGACAATATCTTTTCATGGCAGGGTAAAGAGCTAATAAATTTCTAGCATTGATTTTGTCCTCTTTGGTCTGCAGGTTCTGATGATCTGGTAAATGAAGCATTTGATTTTGCTAAGAATTTATGTTCCTTACAGCTGACTGAGGAGGAGATCGCCTTGTTTTCATCTGCTGTTCTGATATCACCAGGTAATTTGTCATTCTGAACACCACACTTATTTTTTCCTCTTTGTCCACCTCTATTTCTACCTACCTAAATAACTGTTTAAACTGTATAAAGCAATGTTAAGCAAGGTATTACGGAATGGAAAAATACCTGAATTGCAAAATATGTCTCACTCTCTCTTTGGTAGACCATCAGGAATTACACTTTCTAGAAGCAGATCCAATGTGTGGAGGTAACAGACATGGAGCAGGTTTGTGCAAACAAGCAGTGCAGGCTGACATTCCTCCAGGCCACACACAGAGAAGCATGGTACTCAAGGAGGTGCATATTCCTTCTAGCTTTTTCAGGAAGCAGCATTGCCATGAGCAGATTAGATAGCCCATAATTATGATGGCCTTTATCTGTGGGAATAAGATGAGCAGTAAAAATCTGTATGAAGTCCTGCCTGATGAGAAGTAGTGTTTATAGGTGCAACATGCTTTTTTTCTTGTGTTCATGTACCATAACTCTGCGTAGCCAAACATACATTTAAGTCAGTATTCCCTGGCTGATCACAGAAAACAGCTCACTTGACTGAGTTGACTCAGAAGGTGGATCTAGTAGACAAGCTCACAGTTTATCATGGGATTTTTGAATATGCCTCGGGGAAGGTACTGACAAAAAAATCTCACCATGAATTCTTTTTCAGCTCTTTCTGCTGAAGACTTCCTCTAGGTCACTTTGCCCTTCTGCACATCTGTGGTAGAGATTATGTTAGACAGAATTAGACTGGAACAGATGGTGTCAACATGTTCATTCTCTTCATTAATGACACCTGCTTGAAAGGACGCTGCTCCTTTTATTTTCGCTTTGAGCAGTTCTTTCCATCATCTGCTCAGAGATATTTGAGCCAGTGGCACTTCAGGGTGTTAGGCTGAGATGCTGCAGAGACAGCCCTCCAAACAATGACCATTTCCAACTCAAAGGTGTTCCAGCTGTGTGCAGAGGTGAGAGTTGCCTGTGTACTGTCTCCCACATGTCCAGACTTCTTCTGAGACAGTGTACTTGCAATGTCCTGATGTGTCCTTTCCCATCAGCCCTCCCTGAGTCTGAAAAGACCAAAGCTGCGAGGGTGACAGAGAGATGTGCAGCTAGTGCTTGCTTCTGGAAAACTAGATGGGCATCAAAATTCTAACTAATACCTGCAGTTTCACATATGCCCCTTCAGTTTGCAAGCAAAAGGATATATGCAGTGTCTCCTATTCTTGTAACTAAAACAAAAAATAAAGTAAAAGTGCTTGTTGCGGGCAGACTGCTTATTTCTATAGTCTGTGAGCATGTGTAACTTTAGTCATAAAAGACTCAATAAGAAAGAAGTCATGGGCTGCAGAAGCACATAAATGAGTGAAAGCAGTTCCTCTTCCATAAAAAGACTGCAAATTTGGATTGTGTAAATAACTCCCACATCAGCTGGGCTACTAAGTTTGAGAAGACAAGGAAAATAGGCCAGATTGAAATACACTGGAATTTGCTATTTATTTTCTTACAAAAATGGTAACAGTAAATAACAGAGCATGAAATCATTTCCTTCCACACTGGATGCTCTGGTTTCTTCACAATAAAAAGTTTTATCAGAGGAACTTATGTAAAAATTTAAAAATTAATCACTGCATCACAGAAGTACCTGCACCAGTCTTTCTGTACAATAATACAAGATTACAAAGATTCCCCGTGGGAAGTAGTCATATTGAAGGTTTTTTCCTATGGAAGTCGTAATCCTGAAAGTTGATTCTTGCGCTCTTGATCTCAGTGTTTAGGCACTTTACAGGAAACAGAGCAGTCCCATTGGGAGTAAGGGGACCTAAGAACATCCATTAATAAATTTACTAAAGCTGCAAAGCCCAGTGTCAGACCCATTTTCCCTCTATTTCAGAGCACAAATCCAGAGTTAGGGTGGACATAACCACACTGCTTAAAGGTGATTCTTTAACTTGATTTCTGATTTTAAAAGTTACAATATTGTAGGAGTGGTCCAGTAGAGGTTGCAAAGGCATCTCCACCTGCAAATATGCCAGAGCCATATGGCAAGACACTAACCTGGCTGCCCTCATATGCCAATCCCTCTTCTGAAATTCTGGCTTGCCATCCTTCTTTCTGTCTTGCTTTTTGCAAAAGCAGGTCTTGTAAGCTGTCTCTCATCCTTCCTTCACTATTCTCTAGCCTGGTTCATTCTTTAAAGATAGACAAGTTCAAAACCCAAACAGAAAAGTACATAATTGAAGCACTGCTTCTTATATCTCTAATGGGTAGCCATTCATCTACTGACTTTTTCCTGCACTTTTGTGAATATAGCTAGAGTTACCTAGAAAATTCCAGCCGAAGTTTCAGATGGTGTTCAGGTAGTAGAAAACACATTTTGGGAGAGAAACTTAGCATCCATTATAAAATTTTTGCCTAGTTGTCATGAATTCTTGTGCAATATGCAGCATATTTCATGACAGGTGAGTAATTAAACCTGTCCTTCAACTGCCTCAGTCTATTTTTAAGGTTATTCTTGTGACAGAAAGCTAAATCTTTGAGGATTGCTCTATATGATAGATCTTTTTAGCTCCAGTCTGCCACAATAGGCACTGATTTAACATGAAAGAAATGTTTTTGCAGTAGCATGAAGTTTGGCACCTAACCTGTGAAGTCTAAGTAGTACTGTGTGCTTACTGTATCAATGGTGCATGTGCTGTCAGTTAATTCTGTTTCTATGGCCACTGATAGCACAGGATTCTTTGGCTTACCTTATGGGAGCATGATTTCTAAGCTTTGCAAAAAGATTATTTTCTTTTCCTGATCATCCGTTAAGTAGCTAGACGTTTGGTTTTGTCAATGAACACTTTTCTTACACCCCTCTCCAAACAGTCAGACAAATGACAGAATTGTGCTCCTTCTGTTCAGCTCCAACCTCTGTGGCATGTGTGCTCACTGAAGTGGTTGATTTATACCACTTCTATGGATTATTTCAGTGATGGGGAGTGGGTGAAGAAGGTCTGAAAATGAAAGGAGATTTTCCTGAACTTTTGAATTTGTACATGAAGATTCATGCCCTGTGATAAAATGGATTTTCTCATTTCCTGTTAGAAAGCTAAAATCTATACCCAAGAATTAGTCTGGATTGAGGGAGGAAGAAACAAGTTTGCAGCATGGGAAAACAGAAGTTCAATAGTGCTGCAAGCACACTGTATTAATGATTTTAGATTGTCTTGGGGTCTGCTACTTCATGTTCTATGTGTTTGTGTCCAGGAGCTATGACTTGTGAGAATATAGATCTTAAGGACAATGTCCTGCACTTGGGGTTTGAGTTCAGTAGAAGCTATATAGGTTTCCAACAACTGTGTCTGCAACTGTTATTCTCCCAGATATTTTATTTTGTGTTGTTTAGAGAAGACATTTTTAAATAATGAGAAATTTGCACTTCAAGACATTTCAACATAATTCTTTTGAATTATTAAAGAATTTTTTGAAGGAAGCCATTTCTTTTTGTTTAGAATATATTTGTTCTCAAAATGTTAGCCTAGAAAATAATGAGATATATTTTATTTTAATTTTTAAATAATTATATTCTCTTACTTTCAAAGAACTGTTTTGATCAATAAGTTTATTATTTATGTATTAAAACACTGAGCTAACGTGACATGTTTATCACCTAGCAAGTATGAAGTTAGAAAAACACTTCATTATACCAACAGAGTAAAATGAGTGGGCCATGTTTCATTTCTATTCCCATTGTTATTGCTAACATCCTGTTTTAAACAAAGAGATGCAGAGCCAACATTGTGTTCCTGTATGTTTTGTATATTTTAATTAAACTTTCACGTAATCCTTTGACGAGTTGCGATAATTAAACTCTCAGGTGATCCTTTAATGATCACTTTGCCTCTAAAACCATGTCTTAATTACCATGCAGTCCTTCCTCATGGGAATTATGATTGCTGTGAATGCTTGCCAGCATGGTGCACTCTGTTCATCCATAAGCATGCCCTTCATCTGCATTCTTTACATCTTGTTTTCCTGTTTCTCAGATCGAGCCTGGTTAATAGAGCCAAGGAAGGTCCAGAAGCTTCAGGAAAAGATTTACTTTGCACTTCAACATGTGATCCAGAAGAACCACCTCGATGAGGAGACATTGACAAAGGTAAGTTGTTAAAAACAAATGTTAAGTGCTTCCTCAATCATGAGTCTTTTCTTTTGTAGCCATTTGTGCATGTATTGCCATATTAATGTAAGCAAAAAGTAGTGCACTATGTGCTTGCAATGCCTAGGAGAAGATAGGCTTGTTTGACTCTTGTTCCTGTTTCCTGTTACTCCACTTTTGTTCAATATACTAGTCATTTTAACTGGTACCCTATCAGAAAATGAGACTGCCTCAAAAATACCCCTGGAGGCAGTTTCTTGTTGAATGCATTTTTGGCACTTGGCTAAAGCTTCTGGGTCAATTGCATTTAGGCTCTTATGGTAAGAACAGTGTCTAGTCCTTTGAATGGGTAGTTTTTATGGAGCTTAGAGTATCACATTCAGTTACTGAGCAAGATGTTAATGAAGTTCATTTTGGAAACTGTAATTTATATGAAATATGCTTCTCTTTTTTTTTTTAATGTCTCACAGTTAATAGCCAAGATACCAACCATTACTGCACTTTGCAACTTGCACGGAGAGAAACTACAGGTATTTAAGCAATCTCATCCAGACATAGTGAACACACTGTTTCCTCCATTATACAAGGAGCTTTTCAATCCAGACTCAACCACTGGCTGCAAGTAAAGGGGATAATAGAATTTTCACGTAGTCATGGAATGCATCACTATTAAGACAAAAAGAAATGTTTTCATGAAGAACTTAGAAATGTCACTACTGCAACACTAGGAATGTCCTGCACTTAATAGAATTATTTTTCACCGCTACAGTTTGAAGAATGTAAATATGCAACTCTGAGTGGGGATGTCTTTTTTCTCTTTGCTTTGTTTTTTGTTTTTGTTTTTTTTTAATTTTTTGAACTGATAATGAATATACAAATATAGGACACTGGGTGTTACCTTTTTTAAATTTACTTTTACTGGGGGATGTTTTGGGAGACATCTGTTCCTAGAATTTTATTGTAGATATACATGGGAATAGAGCAGTACTTTGCAGTATTACTCTTGCTGTTTATTGTTCAAATATAATTTAAGAAAATTCCACTGATTAGACTTGTCTACTTCTATGTTTTTAGATAGTTTAATGCATGTGGAAATTTGTAG